GTGTGCACTCTCACACACACTCGCAAAAACCGACTCGACATCTATAAAATAAACCCCAACCAAAGTCAAAACTAAACAAACCCCAAACACTAAACAGAATTAGCTTTTATAAGTTTCTGTTCAGTCAGCCGGACGCCGTTTCTGGAAAAGTCTCAAAGACCTCGAAAATGGCGCAGAGAATGGCAGAATGGCTTACATCTTCGGAATATGTGGGTCGAGTTTTTTTAACGTAATTGTATACAGTATGATGAATGTTTTTCAGTGTTAATTTATGTTTTTTGTTTGTTTATTTATTTTTTAAAGTTGAAAGTGGGTGGTTGGCGGGTGCTCTGGTGTGGTTTGCTCCTTCTTTCCTATCAAACATCTATCATCTTTATCTCCCCTCCTTCTTTTTTGTGTTTGTTACTCCCTTGTAACGCCTCTAATCTTCGGCACTTATATGACCTTATTGTGTTGCAAGTGCCGTAAAACACTTACGAAAAAAAAATGTTAAAAGCGTTTTATGGCATTTGCAACATAAATATGTCATAATGTAAATTCCGAAAATTAGCTGTTTTACTGCTAGAGAGAAGTAGACAACGAAAAGTAGGAGTGACAAGGACGATAGATGTTTGACACGAAAGTAGGGGCAAACCACACCGGAACACACGTGCCAACCACCCGCTCCTTTTGTTATTGGTTCAACAGGTATTTTGGTACTTGGACTTGGATGTTGTAGCCCTCTCAGCTTGGGTTGGTGGTCTCCGAAATAATCTTAAAAGTTTCGAAAAGGGTGTACAACTTTAACAAATGCAATTGCAATTATGATTGTTGCTGTAGTATCACTTGAGGCTCAAAAAGTCCTCAATGACGTATAATACCTTCGCGGGCCGCTTGAGGGTGCCACTGGAAGGTCCTACTTCTCCACTTTCCCTCTGTTGTTTCTGTCTGTCTGCCTGTCTTACTTTTTCCTCGTACTTACTGAGTCAATGTGCTTCTCTTTACTCACAGTGGGTGGTTGGCGGGTGCTCTGGTGTAGTTTGCGTCTTCTTTCCTATCAAATATCTGTCGTCTCTCCTTCTTTTTTGTGTTTGTTCCTCTCTTGTAACACCTCTTCTTCGGCTCTTATATGGCCTTTTTGTTTTGCATGTGCCGTAAAAATCTTACTAAAACTTAAAAAAAACACCCCCACAAATTATAATACCGTACTGTGATTTTGTACTGTGATTTCTCCCCACAGGCAATGCTAAGACAGTTCGCAATGACAACTCGAGTCGCTTCGGCAAGTTCATGCAGGTGTGTTTCGCCGGCACCCAGATCAAAGGCTGCATCGTGCAGGACTACCTGCTGGAGCAGTCACGCATCACCTTCCAGAGCCAGCAGGAGCGGAATTATCACGTCTTCTACCAGCTCACCTCAGCCGCACAGGTAAATGGCTTCACATCATAGCGTGCTTCTCGTTCTTCTTCTCCTTTGACCCTGCTTAATGACTCGTTTGTTCTGTCTTTGTCTCCCTCTCCCCCCCTCTCTTTCTGTCTCTCTCCATACTCCATTCAATCTTTCCCTCTTTCTCTCTCTCTCTCTCTCTCTCTCTCTCT